AGAATACAAATCAATTCTTAATGACCACATTACAACAACTCTAACTAATGAACCCACCTTTTAATACTCATCATTCCCTCCTCCCTCAATTATTCTAACCGTAACCTGTCTACACCTCCCTCCCTCCTCTCCCATCCCCTCTAAAGCCCCATGGCATGCACCCTCCACCTCCACCATCTCAGTCTCAGGATGCAGAGCATTGACAGGGCCAGAAGGTAATGATACAGCTGCCATGATGCAACAAGCAGACCTGTCGACTGTCAGGAATTGAAATCATGAAGGAATAAGCTGTCATTAAGAGGCCCTCTCCCAGTAGTGGAGCTGTCAGACGGCTGCCTTCTGCCTACTCTCCCTCAATACTCCCGTCTCTCCTCTGCCAGTCCCACCTTATTTGCAGTCACTCCCTCACCCTCCTCTCATTTCTCTCTTCCTGAATCAATCCTTTCTGTACTCCTCTACTTCTTCCCTCTTCGAACCAATCATAACCCCTCTCCCTCTCTTCACCTGTAACACCCCCGCTTCCCATCTCAAATTTCTTTCTGTTTCCCCTCCATCCTTTGGTTGATGCTGGAGCAACCTCCTCTCCTCCTCATACCTGTCATTTTACCTCTAGACTTCGGGAGTAACACCTCATCACGTGCACACACATACACATGCACGTAAAGACAAGATGCAAGATGCCTGCAAAGACAGCATTTTCCCCCTTACCCAGTACTGCTGTACACACTATGCCAAATGTCAATAGCAGATCATATACCTGATGCGACACAATGTGTGTATGTGTTTTCTCTGTCCACAGGTGTCTGTCTGTGCAAAATTTAGACTTGTATTTAACACAAACTCTTGTTAACGAGGATATTAACATGTCATCAGACCAGCTTGGTAAATAAGAAATGATTTGGTGTAAATGCTTTGCAGAGATCCACACAAGAATACATTTTCTGTTTATGTATGTGTGCATAACCAACCAACCAAAGCAACCAAACTTCTACTTCACATGCATGTTGGATGTAGGGCCTGATTAAAGTACATGCCAACAGCTTTTTATAAACAATTATCTGACTGACAACAGCAACTCCATCAAAGAAGAAGAAAGACATTGTCTCAAACTTCCAGAGAACATGTCAAAGACTTCCAAAGTATGGTCTATAGACTTATTGTTAGAGAGTGTGTTTGTGCTGCATCCAGACATATTTAAATGCAGCACTTCTAAGAAAAGTTGTGGTGTTGTATAGAATATTAAGAAAAAACAAAATTAAATTATGCATATTTCAGTAACCAAGTGATGGATCTGTGGCCTGTCCAGGGTGTACCCCACATCTCGCACAGTGACTGTGGATATGGGCACCAGTGACCTCCATAACCCAAAAAGGAAAAAATGGGTAAAGATAATAGTAGGATGGATGGATGGATGGATGGATGGATGGATGGATGGATGGATGGATGGATGGATAAACCCAAATTGGATTCACAGTAGAACATAGTAAACATATAAAATGTTGAAACTAAGAAATTGTGCTTAGAAAATTTGTTGTAATTTTTAATTTTGCCAGAAGCATAGTTGGTGCAGGGCTGTGTTTTATTACAGTAAAGCATCACTTTAAAAAAAAAAGTGCAAACATCTAGGACCCGAGGAGTCCACCTGCTGGGACTTTTGAAGAGTAATGTTGTCCATTCTTTTATAAAGTAGGATTCAAGATGTTCAACAGACCTGGATATTCTTTGCTGGACTGTTTTTTTTTGTTTTTTTTTTACTAGATGTGAGAACATGTTCTTTTAAAACCTGCACATAATTTTCAGCATTGATGGTCCTTTTCCAAATATGAAAGTTTGCCTTTGACAAAAGCCCTAATGCACCCCTATACTATCAGAGAGGCAGGGTTTTGAAATGAGCACTGAAACAGGCCATATTTCCCCTTTCCTCTTTAGTTTGGAGGATACAGTGTTAACGGTTTCCAAAAATAAATTAAAATGTTGATTTTTCTAACCACTGAAGAGTTTTTCACTTTGTCTTGGTTCATTTTAAATGAGCTATGGCCCAGAGAAGATGACGGTCTCTAGATGATATTCACATGTGGCTTCTTCTATGCATGATACAACTTTACTCAACGTTTGTTGATGAGGTTTGTTTACACATAATGATTTAATTTGTGGAAATGTTCATGAGCTCATGTTGTGATGTAACAAAATCAGACCTGTTTCTAATGCAGTGCTGCTCAAGGGCCTAAAAATCACAGACATCTAATATTGACTTTCCGCCTTGTACTTGTACACATAGAACTTGCCAGGTTGTTCAAATCTTTGATGATATTGTAAACTGTAGATGAGGGGATATTCAAGGTCTTCCCAATTTTCAGTTGATGAACATTGTGAAATCGTTCTACTATTTTTAGATGCATGTTTTTACAGAACGGTGAACCTCTGTCCTGCTTTACTTCTGAGATTCAGACCCTCTGAAATACTATTTTTATTACCAGAATTATCAACAAAATATTTGTTCTGCAGAAATATTGTGATTTTCAACTATTCCAAGCTTATGGGGAAGTGCTACAGCTAGGTGCTGACGCTGCTTTAGCACTTGTAAACAACTGTAAAATAAATGTAAATAACTGTGTACAGCAACACTGATGTAAAGGTTTATACAATATAGTTTATTTGAACTGCTGAACATTTTCTGAGAGGGAGGTTGTTTAAGACAAGAGCATTACTTTGGTCTTGGCCCCTCTTTGACTAGATGTTAGTACACCGATCTGGTCAGAATTAAACTATTTTTTTTTTCAAATCGAGGGTAGCATCGAGGATATTTAGCTATCATAAAGAAAAATACCAGTAAAACTAAATTTTAACTACATTTCTATATACATGTCAATAAAAAAACAGATGTTTGTTTTTACCCCCCAAAATTGTAGGCTTATACTGTAACAGTGACTTAGCAAAACATTTTAAAGCTGAAATAATAAAAAGGTAAGGTCCATGATAAACCTTTTCCTTTGTGCTGTGTTATCCATAAATGTCAGTAACCTTACAGAGTAGCATCTGCCAGAATGATGAATTATTTGCCTGCACAAAAATATAAGTTAAGCAGATGAAAATCTGCTTGGAAGGAAAGATGAAAAATGTGCTCAGAAAAATCATAGCTGCAAACCCATATTATTTGAAAAACTGTGGGCTTATGACAATTTCTTGTCGCTTTCACCATTTTAAAAAGTCCACTATTTGCGTAGCAAATCTGTCTTTCTGCTGCGAGGTAAAGAAGAATCCTTTTTAGTTTAATATTGCATAAGTTTCCACAAAAAAATGGACAAACTTTTAGCACACTGAAACACAATACTCATGGCCAAGAAAAAAGCAGGATGAAAATAAATGTTAAATTGCTTGTAAATGGTAAATGGACTGTGTACTTATATAGCGCCTTTCTATTGGATCAAGATACTCAAAGTGCTTTACACTACAATCTGTGTCCTCATTTACCCATTTATACAGCACTCTACTATATCTGTAGAAAGCTAATTGAACAAATCATTCTAATGAGACTACTCAGAGCTTTATCACATTCATACACTGATGGGACACACATCGGATGCAATGAGAAGTTCAGTGTCTTGCCCAGGGACACTTTGGCATGTGACAGCTGTTGGGAGTCAAACCCCCAACTCTTGCATTGGAGGTTGACTGCTCTAACCACTCAGCCACAGCCGCCCTTGTTTTTCAGAAATTTGCTAGTTTGTAAATTTAGAAATAAATCTTTACACATTAGCTCTTGTCTAACACGGTACAGCAGACTGATCCTGAACACGTGCTCCAAGAGGCATCAAGACTAATTTTACGGTACGACACAATAAACCACAAACTGTAACAGTTGCAGACAATATGAACTGACTGTAAATTTGTGTGGTTGTTTTCCCAGCACACAGACAAGACTACAAGGCATGTGTGCACTACATGCCTGGATGATAATTTGTCAGGGTGCAAGAACATGATTTCTTGTTTACTGTGATGAATGGGCAACACTCACAGTGCACACACCATGTTCTCTATATATGAGCTGTCACTTTGCCTCTGTGAGGCGCAAGTTTTTCCTTTCTATCTGTAAGAACAGCAAGGCAGTTTGAATCAGCCATGTAAAAACACATGGACAGATGTGCAACCTTAACCTCTCACATTGTTGAACACAGCAGGAGAGAGCTTTACACAGCAGGTAAAGTCTTTATGATATTCAGGTGGATGAAACGAAAAAATGAAAAAGAGAAAGGGGAGCAGCATCCCCCCAAAGTCTATTTGAACAGCAGGCCTATTAAATTACACAGTCATGGCCGTGCTGACAAATGAGCACAAAGATGGGGATGAAAATAATAAGACAGGCAGATCCACCTTTTTGCTTGCAGACACAGAGATGTGTACCTTTGTCGGTGATCATATGGTCAGGGAAGAAAAAACTAATCTATATTTCATATTGCATTATCTCCTTCTCAGTTTCAGCTCAATCACCCATGAACACACAGAGCGACACAGGAATCATGCATCATGAGAATGTATAAATGGTTTCTTGTATGATAATGATCACATTGAAAAATATGCTTCATTTCCCAAACTCGACAAAATAAGCTTCAGTTGTGGGTTGACAACAGTGTAGTTAAAGAATCATTTGAGAGTACGAGTTTATGTTCGCACCTGTGAATGAATGCTCGGCTCTTAGTTTTGGCCCCTGGGAATGTGCGATGCTGTGGAGTGTTGAAATTGTTCATCATCATGTAATTTCTCGTATGACCCTTGGGGCAAACTTTTCTTTCTGCTGCACACTTGTGTAAATTGTACAGTGCGGCTAAACTGAATTAAGTTGACAGTATATCAAGAATCAAAAGTAATAAAGCACACAGCAACAAAAATTACTCGCAGTCACTTTGAAACCACAAGTTAAATAAATGAAAAACAAAACACCTGAGTACTTTTTTTTTTTTTCCTGTCACAACTTCTTTAAACCAGATAAGTTCAGCTCATACCTTTGTGGCTCTCTTAATAAAGGGGATCTGAGTCCCTGAGTCCAGGTCCTGGTTGATGATTAGTCTACGAGCCCACTGACCGGCTCGCACCACACCACTCCCCTGGATCAGCACCAGCAGCTTGGACGGGTTTGACAAGGCATCTGGGCTCAGGTAGATAAAACTGGTAGGTTCATCTTCTGTAGCATCCACCTGAAAATTAAGTAAAACACAAGTTAATGTGAATTTCCAAGACAAATTTCCCCTTGGGGACAATAAAGTATACATTTATCTATCCATCCAATCTAAAGATGAAAATCTAATCACAGTGTGGCTTTGGATTATTATGTTAGGTGCCTACTATCCTAAAAAAAAATCTGATGGTGGTTACAGAAACAATACTTTATTTAATGCACCTGACTTTTGCATAAACATTGCTCTCCTTTCTGGGCTGAATTCAACAATACTTCACACATCAATACCCAGAAACTAATCTTTTTGTCGCCAAAACACATGCACAAGGTAACACTGACAGAGAGAGCGTGAGTGTTTGTGGGTGTGCCAGTGCTCCATCTATGTCCCATGCTTCTTTGCATCCCTCTCAAGTATGCCTGGAAGAGTCTCTGAGGAGACACTGTCCATAAAAGCCATGGGTGGCAGCTGCAAGAACTTAATCCAAACAGACAAAGAGGGCCAAGTGGGGGAGAAAATCTCACCCTTTATTCTGCCGTGCTCCTTCATTCCCTCTCCTTATACTTGGCTGTGGTTAATCTTCTTAAAATCTGTGGTCACAAGTTCAATGCCACGCAGGTGGACAGACCCACCACTAGCCAGCCAAAATACACACATACACTTTCCATACACATGCAGGCGGGTGGGAAGCAGAAAAGCATAAGAGAGCAATTTTCCAGAGGAATAATGAGATAAATAGACCAGGCTGATAAACCACTATAAGTGTATAGGGGCTAATGAAAGGCGCTGACTGTCGCTAGGTGATTTATGAACACTGTTGGTGCTCGATCTAACTCTGGACTGCTTCTAAACTATATAAATAAACCGAGAAAAAAAAAAAAGATGACTACTTTTATAAACAGAAACAACTGCATGGATGTTGAGGTAAAAAGGAGCCAAAAAAGACAAACAAGCTCCCAATCAACAAATAAAAAGGGATCAAGACTGTGCTCTGAGCCTGGATGATCTGGGCAAAGAATACCTCCACAATGGCAGAGTATAAAGTCGCCTTCAGAGCAACTGAATGCAAAACAGATTAATCATCAGCATGCTGTGCCTCTTTGAAATGACATATCACAATACGGTTTAATTTGTTGTGGAGACACTTTTGTACAAAGGGTGTGTACTGAAGAAAAGACGGAAGAAAGACAACAAGTAGGACAGAAACGGAGGAAGACAGAAAAAAAATAAATAATAATTCAGAATTGTGATCCAACATCTTAAAATCCCCCTTTTTATTTACTTTATCTTTTTAAAGAACACCTAATATCATAAACACACGCTGAAGCCAAAGCTTTTGAATACCATTTCATATTTAACACCCAACTTTAAACGTCAAGGGCAGAAATCAAAAACATGTTTTTTCCTCCCATCATGGGTACTTACTGGCAGGATTGCTTTAGTCAAGTTACAGTCTCTCTCCAACAGCTCATAAACATATTCAGTGATGATCTGAAGGAAAAGACAGAGCACACAAAATATGCAAAGTCAGATATTACATTGATAACAGCGTCTGATGATGTTATCTTTTATTGCTGTGGATCAAATCCATCTTAACAAAGACAAACTGTGTAAACACGGAACAACATCCAGTTTCAAGCTTACAAACAAAATAAAAAATTTAAAAAAATCACTTCTTTAAACCATCATTTGCCCTCTAGTGTTTGTGTGTGAGTGCACACAAACTACTTGAAAGAGTCAGGTTTATACAGTGTGTAGTGTGTGTGTGCATGCGTGTGTATCACAGTACCGTCAGAGGGCTGAGGTTGTAAGTGCCAGGAGAGGAAATCTCTTGTACATGCGAAGGGCTGATGTAAGTTATGTTTATCCCCGCAGCCACAGCACTAAAGAACCTTGTATACAAAGTCACTCCTACCCCAGGCCAAGCCTTTCATGGTTCAGTGACATTAACAACGTTCTTTTCCCTTTTCTTTGTTTTTATTTTTTCTCTACCTCTTTTCTTTTTTCCCCCCACATCTTGCTCAGCTGAGAACAGACAAAGGCACTTCACGAAACAGATTTTGATTCTTGATCAGGTGTGAGTGAGACACAAACTCAAAGAGCGCAAACAGATGACAGCAGGCGACAACCAATAGTAGCATTCTGTGCAACTGATGACGTTTCCCTATGGTGAGACAAGCCACGTCCCGTCTATGTCACGACAATATTGTGTTGGGTGGATGCACCATAGGGAGAGCTGAGTAGTGCTGTCACGCTGTGCTGTGAAGTCTTACTTCTGTAAGCTTCTGAAGAATCAGCCTTACTAAATCAGGAAACCAAAGGCCAGCGGTGGCGCCACAGTTACAAAGCATGAGCAGAGCTCCAGTCATGCCGAAATGACTGACTCCAAACACAAACAAGGATTATCCAAAGACTGTCATGTCTCGTAGTGCAGGGAATGATGCTCAGATGCCAAAAACGCATGGAAATGGAGAAAATGTATTCTGATTTAACAAATTACACAATACATGAAATAGACTTGACATCAAAATAATCTGCCCTTTTTTAAAGAAATGTGTGGATAATAACTCCTTGGTGTCAATATATGTATTGTATAAAGAACAACATTCCAACACAGCAATTACAAGCTGCTAGTCTTTCAGTTAAACCAGTCAAGAAGAAACTTACTCTGCTCAGTATGCAGAACTGTTCCTGAAAATGATACGAGAACAAAATAATATTACAGGGGCTGTGGCAGAGCTGCAAAGCTTTTTAAAGTTTTGGCACATGCGCGCAAACCCCCGCCCCCTATATATATATATATATATATATATATATATATATATATATATATATTAACTATACTAAAATGTCAACCATGAGAGAATGGAATTATATACACCTCTAAACTATTTGCTTTAAAGTCCATGATCGTCAGAGCTGATAAGTTCAAAGGTACTTGAATAACTCAAAAAGGCACTTTTGATTTAAAGTCAAACAAAAACTTTCTAGATAATCACAACAATTTAATGCTGCAATCTTTATGCCTCAAAAGAACTCAATGCTAACTTGATTTACTGCTTAAAGAGCAACATGTGAGAACAAGATTAGCTAGGTGACGAACATTAGCCTTACGACAGTCAATCCAAGGCCAGCAGATGGACAGGACCAAATGATCGATGCTACCGTCTGACCCTGTGTCTCTGTGTGGAATGGAAAGGGGGGGATTGAGGAGTTAAAACAACAACACTGAACCCCCACCAAACCTCCAGTAGCTAATTCTACGAAATGTCAGCTGGTCTGATGAAAACTAAAATGATTCTTGGCCTCGGTAAGCTAGTGTTTAATGACGTCTATATGCTTCCTGGGAAATTTCATTTGCACTGTTATTTGTTCCATGCCTCAGGTGGCTCAAGAACCATCTGATACAATAAGAACAAAAACTAATGGTGAATAAGAATAGAGAACAA